AATCTAGTACTGTGTCTTATAAAACAGCTTTGAAAAAACAACATAATATGATCCGTAAAAAAATGTTTCTTTCCATAAATTATGTAAAACGTTAAGTTTATTTGTAATCAAGCACAAAGCTACACAATGGGTTATCTGTGCTCTGCCCACCACGGGTATCGAAACCCAGATTCTAGCGTTGTAAGTCCGCAGATATACCGCTGTGCCACTGGGGGGGCAAAACGCTAAGAAGGAAGGTTTGGAAAGCGGTTTGTTTTTAAATAAATTACTGCTGCGGTAAAAATGAAAACAAATACTTTTAGTCATATCTTTAAACTTTCAAAAATTGCTACAAGATTTTCCCCAATACTAGGCAAAGTGTTAACCTTTCAGATTCGGCACTTGTTGGGTAATGTTTGTTTATTTGAAGTTAAGCACAAAGCTACACAATGGGCTATCTGTGCTCTGCCCACCAAGGGTAACGAAACCTGGTATCCAGCGTTGTAAGTCCGCAGACATACCGCTGTGGACACTGGAGGACTGTTGGGTAATGTTTGTTTATTTGAAGTTAAGCACAAAGCTACACAATGGGCTATCTGTGTTCTGCCCACCAAGGGTAACACTGGAGGACTGTTGGGTAATGATAATAAAATACTGAAACATTTCTCTCTTTGTAAATAAACCAATTTTGTTTCTTTCAGCGATTCGGAAATTTCAAAGTTGAATGATAAAGCTATACAACGATTTATACACTAAATGACAGTTATCATTGCCATTATATTTCTCTCTCTCTCTCTATATATATATCTATATATATACAGAGGTTGGGTACGTTGCATAAAAACTGTTTTGAATATGCTTCTGCAAATCAACGAGTCGTGTGAAAACCACAACCACGTAAAGTCATGATGGAATGGCACACATCAAAACTAGATTGTTTGGCATTATGTAGGTACAGTGTGATGCCATCGACAATTGGTCGTTTTTGGAAAAGGTATATATAACAAACCTGTACGACACAAAATGTTCATAAAGATGTCAGATCTGGAACGTAGAATTTCCAAGACGGGGATAGCTTACGTATTTAATGACATTGGATAACAAATAATTATGGATCAACTTCAGGTACTATGAACATCCAGAAAGAGACCTGCAACAAGTCGTACCAAAGCCGTGGTAAGCAAAGTGAGGTGGGAATCTATGAACACAAAGATCAGTGGCAAAAGCAGTTCAAGTGCCCAGGCAACATTATTCAACGTAATCAAGAAGGATCTCCGTATGAAAACGAGAGTATGGGTACACTGAGATAAAATTTCCAGTCATACCTACCATTCAACCGTTGCATACCTCAAGCAGCTGGAGAATGCAACAGTTATTCATGCTATTCTATAATAAGACAAACCGACCAATTCGCCGGAAGCAACATCTATGTATTTCTGTGTGATCGGACTATTGAAACGGGAGTTGGTAAACCGTCATCTTTATAAACTAGATGGGTTATGGAAGTTATACAAGAAGGACTGGTTTGCTTTGGAAATGATAACCTTACAACGGATCCTTCTGCAATGGAAGCTTAGCTTCAGGGTTATTGCCAAAATACGCAGTCGTCAGATATAGAATGACCGACCGTGACGACATGGACTGTAATGACATGGTAAGGCTCCAAATCGTTTTTGCATAATGTACTCAACTCTCTGTAATACAGTGTGTATGCATGTGCGTATATATATATATATATTTATACTTACAGAACAACTGTATTACTGTAATGTGACGGTAAATACCACTATTCGTTGGTAAAAGAGTAGCCCAAGAGTTGGCGGTGGGTGGTGATGACTAGCTGCCTTCCCTCTAGTCTTACACTGCTAAATTAGGGACGGCTAGCGCAGATAGCCCTCGTGTAGCTTTGCACGAAATTAAAAAACAAAGAAACAAACGAACTCTCTTTTTTAATGCCCGCGGTGGCTCAGCATTAAGTTTAATAACTTATATAAAAAATAAGGTTTCGATACCCGCGGCAGGCATAGCACAGATAGCCCACTGTGTAGCTTTGTGCTTTTTGTTGAAGAAAGTCTAAAAGCTTGAGTAATATGCATCAAAAAACAGGAGTATACTTGCTAATCTCTTACTAATAAGACGTATAAATTAATCACCGTCGTTAGAGGACATTAGAAACGAATATTTGATCTCATAGTTTTATTCCTCCTTTGTTTGTAATTAACGAATAGCTCTTTTTTTTTTTTTTTTTTTTTT